ACAATCAACATAAGCTTCATGATATTAGTATAGTAATATACATGTATATTTGATATGACATAATAATATTACCAATATATATGCTGTTTTTTCGCTGCCAGGTTAAAAATAACGATTCTTTCAACGCGACAAACTTAAAAAAAAATTCAAAGAAAAATATACATGTGTATATATTTTGAACTGTATATACACACAGTTGTAGGATATCAGACCGAATCAGACAATCTCAGATTTGGTCAAACATGGTTGAGGCACGAGGAGTCAAAAAATTCCACAGAGGCCCAAGACAACAGGATGTCATAAATCAGACCCGAGCATTAGCCAGTCTGAAGCAAGCCTAAACCACTCTTCACAGAACAGTTTTCAACATTAAAACAAAAGAAACACACTGATCATAACAACTCAGGAAGGAGATTGTCAATTTTGGAGCAAGTAATCAAGATTAAATGGTCAAAGAGATGACCACATGACCCTCACGTGATAGTAAACGCAGTCACGAGCCCCGTAAATTGACTTCCCCCCACCTCACGACAAAGAACAGACTTTCTGAAATTCCTTACAGACCCCTTAATCTCTGGTCTTCATACATTCACAGAATGGCACGGAAACTGCCTTTCCATGCACCTAAATGACACTAAAAGGACTGGTGACCAGCTAATAATTGCTATGCATAACTCCATATTATGTATCTAACCCACATGTTTAACCATCATGCCTTATTTATTGTGAATGTATTTTGAATAACTATTGAATAGTTTAAGAATTGCTATTGATGTTTAGTATGTGTGTGTTTGAGAATTCATGCTTGAAACGTTTCTTCCAATCAATACTTGGTCAAATGTATCATATTTTTATTATAAGAAATCATGTCCAAAATGTATACTCTACCAGAGCGGGAAAAACGCAGGTCATGTGAATGATGAGATAACAGTTGATTTATGAATGGGGAGGAGTAATATACAACGCCCCGGGCACACACGACATCTAATTGGTCGAAACACCATTTGGGTGTGTTAAACAGCCTGGTTTAAATACTAGAAACACCATCAAACTTAGCTTTTTGCCTTTTTTGCTTTTTTGTGTCTGACTTTTTGTGTCTAGCTTTTAGCTTTTCGCTTCTAGTCATGCTTTTTAGTTATATGCTTTTTAGCCATGCGGCTTTTAGCTTTTCACTCCTAGTCATGCTTCTTTAGTTTTGAGCGTGGTCTGGCTTACACGCCAGCTCCTCCAAAACCATGGGGAGAAACACCACCTGGTCTCGTCAAACTTTACTTCTATTTATATTTCTTTCGTTTGTTTTATTTTCCGTTGAGAGTTTCGTGTTCTGAGTTAAGCCTAACGCCGCATGAGTGCTGTCTACCCTTCAACTTCAGACCACAGCTCCGCGTCGCCAGCCAATGCCCAATCACTGGCTTCCCAAGACTGAACCTCCAGCCAATCAGAAAAGCGGGAAACCCCTCTCAGCACCCAGACAAGGAGGGGAACCCCACACCGGAAAGCAAGTACCCCAGATTCTACTGAACTGGTGCATTTAAGGTAAATTTGAGCCTCATTGAGCAAACTCAATGCAAGGGTTAATTAAGTGATTGATGGTTGTTCAGATCTATGCAATTGCACATAGGCTATTGCTGTAAACTTGGGATTTCACATTTTCATTCTCTTAAACTAATTATTTCCTCACTCTCTCTCTTTCTGAAAACTTGTGTGAATGCGTGTGTTCATGTGTTAGATTAGTTTATATGTCTTAGATTTATCCAATAAAGCCTTATTTATATTGAAAAGAGAAGTATCTTGTGTTTTGTGCTCACAAGTTAATGTCTTAAACTGCCAATCTTGTTACTGTGCTAATAAATAGTGTTTTCACTATATTTTGGATATAAATATCCATTGCAGAATTGATGTCATACGGCTCGTTCACTAAATCGCTGGCCGTCTCAGTGATCAGCCGTAAAACAGTGATTCTGTCCTAATTCCCTTACATATTAATGGTGGAGTTCCCTTTAAAATCTTAAATGATTCCCTTTGAGCTAAATTGACCTGTTTCCCTTACACAGTTCAAGCTAGAAGTAAGCACTGACACTATCTGCTTCCAATATGGGCTTGCCTTACACAGACTGATGTGGATGATTAAAAAAATGCTAATATCAGTTAATATTATTCATGCTTAATTGCCACATCAAAAATTAGCACACGCAGACGGCTCTTTTCTTCAGCTTTTAATCTATTAAGTATGGAGCACAAAATCTGCAGTTCAATGACTGCCAAGGATCTTTGTCTTAAGACTGGAATACACTAGAAAACCTTTTTTGCAGTCTTACTAACTAAACTTACTTTAACTTAAACTTACTAACTTGCAAACTCCTAATTTGCAGTCTGGACAAGTAAACGATAGTTGCCGAGAAGTCTGAGCTAGTCTGCAGGTTTTGGGCAGTTGAAATTTCGACAGATTTCACAGAAAATTATGAAGTGTATGATGGGCACAAACTGATTTCATTGTTTTGTTCGTTTCAGACCTTGATTCCATCCTGTAGGAGGATATTAAAAATGTTTCACATTTTTGAGGTATTTTAGACTGTTGTTTTATTCATCACATGTCTCCTAGAAACGAGACACATGTTTCTGTGCATGTTTTTCTGTGCAAGTGTGTGATTCTCAATCATTTAGTTTACATTGGCCAATTTTTCTCTTTAACCATTTACAAAGTCAGCAAGTGTATGGTGCCTAGTTTTTTTTTAATCTGTTCTGATTTTGAAATGTATGTCATTGCCTCTCACCTGCAAAGCTCCGACTGGATTGCACTCAGCTTGTTGTGTTGAACTGGATGATTTCATCTCTGACTGAGGGCTAAAACACATTGGACAAAATAAAAAAATAAAAAGAACACAATGATGTAAAAGCCAGAAACCTCTGTTAAATCTTTAGTTTTTGGAAAAACAGAACTTTGTGTAATGTATTTTCTGTTCAAATGGGCACACAATCTGATCTTTACCATTCTCCCTCCATATCAATCCCGATAAACTCTTCTCCCTCCATCCCATTCCCTCCAATCCCTCCCAGCATTCCTCCTTTCAGCATTTTCAGGGCAGCTTCGGCAGCTTTGTGCTTGGCAGCTTTCTTGCTGGGGCCCTGGCCAGTGCAGTTGATGTCTCCCACAGACACACGGAAGGTGAAGTTGGGCTGGTGGGCCTGACCCTCAGCCTTCAGCAGGTCGTACACTGGAGTCTTTCCTATCCGCGTTCCATATTCCTGCAGCAGACTGATGGGCGTCTTCCCGGGGTTCACAGCCAGCATTTGCTCAATACTGTGAACAGAGAAACACAAAGCCACATAGAGATGGATCGGATGTTGCAGTCTAATCAAGCTCTAAATGTGACAGATTTTTCAGGTAAGACAGGTTTTCAATAACACAAAACTATGAATTACTTAGGATGCATTTTCACCTAGTGTCATATAATAACAGTACAAGTTCAAGTAAACTTCATTTATCAAACCATGCCGTCAACAACGAGATGCCGAAGATTTAGAGTCATCTCCAAGGAATTTTGTACCATAATATTTTGTCTTAAAACCTAGTGATTTTTGAGCATCGTTGATTCTAATGTTCGATGTAGACAGGGATTCCACAATCTGATTATACAGTAATACCGATTATATCAATTTAGACAGTGATTCTAAGGTTCGATTTAGTGATTAAAAAAAAATCGGATTCGAATCAAAACATTTAAATGTTTCATTTGAACAGTGATCTTGACGTTTGTTTAGACAGTACTTGAAACCTTCCATATGAACAGTGATTCAAATGTCAGCTGAGATGATTCGAACATTCAGTTTAGACAGCGATTCGAAAGATCGGTTTTAATGATTCAATAATTCGATTATACAGTGACATCCGTAAAGTGTGCAGGAAAGCAGGAAACACTGGGCCTGTTTGTGTTGTCATTTCAAAAACGCAATGTATTCGCAAAATATAAATATAACTGTAACAATTCTATTTTTGTCGTGGTCACTAACAGCCGGTCGGTGGTTCATTTTTACCTGGTATACCCAGAGTTTCTCTTGCCGCTATCCGGGCTTTTCTCGTCGTTCATTCCCCAATAACAGATAGAGAGCTGACTTGTTTCGGACTGCAGAAACCCCCCGAGGTGACTGTAACCCCCCTAATATCATTAATAGGTTTCCGTGCGGGAAGGACTGAGGAACGAGGAGACAGTCAACCCCTCTCTCTCTCACACCGTCCCGCATCACACAACTTAACCCGACTGAATTTTGAAGCGGACCACAAAGCGTCCATTAGCTTTCATAATAAAAGTCTCGACAGTGAAAAATGCCACGAAGCCTGTCAAAAATATGTCCGGGTCATATTTCATAATAATAAAAATAATAATGCATTAAAAATAAAAAAAATGAGATTCATCATTGAGGATAATCAGGATTACAACTAAGCACATTTTAAAAGTAAAACATCCACAACAAGTTTTGTTAAGCAAGTTTCTAACCTGAGGAAACCTGCATTCAAATTCTGCCCTTTTGTATTATTCTTCATTCGTAGTTTATTCTCATTTATCACTTCCATTCCTGTTAATTTTTGTCATAACAGCACAAAGAGAAAAACTTTACATAATCAAATTTAACTAGCAGCATCTCTTGCCTTAGAACAACACTATAAATTGTGGTTTGGTTGAGAAGGGCACAAGCTACGCTTCTCGTCTTTCAGGCATGTGATGATCTCAAATAAGCACTATAGTTACAAATGGGACACACATGTCCCCAGTGTCCAGGACCAGTGGCACATTCCTGAACCCCTGACCTAAGAGCTGCAAATACACACACACACACACACACACAGCACGTGTCTAACACAACTAAACACCAGGAGAGAGATGATGAGACAGTGAAATAGTAAAAAACATAAAAAGCTGTTTTATTCAAGAGACACTCCTGAGGTTAGTTAGCTGGCAAACTGCTGTATGAAAAATGCTGAAATTCTTTAAATGTGTAACCTAGTAAAACAATATCAACACTCTCTACATTTCAGTGTAAACAGAGCAATTGAATATTTTAAGAAATATCACTAGAAAAACAAATTCATCATTGGATTTGGAAAACTCACTGCTAGGTTCAAAGTTCACTTTTGAGTATACAAAGTATGACTGAGGAACATTTCAACAAATGTGAAATACCATGTATCACATAATTCATTGGGGAAACGGGATAATTTCAAGTCCTCAGAAAAAGTCTTTTATTTGGAACCATTCAACCGTTCTCAGGAACTTAACTTTCATTGGCAGAAATGTCTTTTTCATCTAGCTCTTCCATAATCTCCTCAGCAGGTTCTTCTTCTTCTTCTTCTTCAGAGTCATACACATGTTCTTCAATTTCTTCCAAGTCTTTCTGCTTCTCAGTGTCTTCTAGTGGCTCCTGCAACATCTGCTCCTGACTGATATCTTCAACCACCTGATCTTCAGAGAAGTTCTCAACAGCCTCGGCCACACTTGTGTCAGTTCCTGTTTCTTCCATGAAAGTTGGGTCTTCTTTGGCAAGAACAGCGTCTTCTTCTTGATCTGGAATCTCCTCAGTTATTTCATCCCCCTCAGTTATTGCTTGCTCTTCAATAATGTCTCCAACGTTGACCTGAACTTCCTCAGATATCGGATCCCCTTCAGTTACTGCTTGCTCCTCAATAACATCTCCATCGCTGTCCTGAACTTCCTCAGTTATCGCATCCTCCTCAGTTACTACTTGCTTCTCAATAGATTCTTCTTCCCCAAAGACCTCAGCTGGTACTTCTTTGTCAGATACCTGCAGCTCCTCAGGCATTTCATCCTGTTGAGTAACTGCTTCCTCCTCAACAATATCCTGGTGGAATGGAACCTCATCAGCTTGTTCATCCTCCTCAGTTACTGCTTGCTCTTCAGCAACATCTTCTTTGACTTCAGATTCCTCAGGAATTTTATTCTCATCGGCTTGTTTTTCAACAGGTTCTTCCCCATGAACCTGAACCTCTTCAGCTGGCTTGTCCTCCTCAGGCACCACTCGTTCCCCTTCTTCAACATGAAACTCCTCTACTGTTTCCTCCTTGGTAATGGCTTGATCCTTTGCTTCAACTCCTTCATCCTTGATTGGAACTTCCTCCTGAGTTTCTGCTTGCTCCACTTGCTGCTCCTCTACTGGACTATTTTCCTCTGAACTGGATAGCTGGCTTTCAGATAACATCTGAAACACAAAAAACATTATAATGCAACATGCCAAAATGATCATATATGGAAAAAATGAAACAGTCAGGACTATACCTGACTCTGGACGATCTCAGGTTGGGCAGCAAGGCGAGAGTGAAGGCAATGAGTACTCTTTTGGTGGTCCTCCAGACTCCTACGGACAGCCATAAGTTGATCCTCAAGAACTTGGGATCTTCTTGCCTGTTCTATCTCCAGTATGTCCCTGGAAGACACCAAATTAAGATGAATTAGGAATAATCGGTATCAGTAACAACACCAAATTGCTAAAGACCTGAAATGCTACAGAAAATCCCACAACGCCCTTTAGATTACTCACTTGATGTCCACCACTTCCTGTCTGTTTCTTTTAAGAGCCCTCTTGTTGCTGATAAAGGATTCCTTCAGGCTTGAAAGTTCCATTCTTTGTTCCTCCAACTCAGATGTGAGACCTTCTATAGTGGACATCTGCTCGTCGAGATGTGTTTTGGTGACCAAAACAGTGTCCGTGAGTCCAGAAATGGTAACAGCTACCTCAGAGTTTGCAGTAAGGATAGAATGAAGCTTCTGCTTCAGAGTTTCAATTTCTTCAGTCTTATTCTTGACAATTGCATTTAACGTTGCAGTGGAAACAGACTCCTGCTGGAGTTCAGAAAGTTTGGCATTCATCTCAGACTGAAGAGACCAGAATTGGCTTTGAAGATCAGTAGATTTGATTTTTTCTGATGTGGCTAGTGCAACATCTGCCTTTTTTTGGGCCTGTGTGTAAGCCTCTTCCAGTGCTTGTAGACGCTCTTCAAAAACACCCACATTGGCAATCTAAATATATAAACAACACATTTTATTTCAACATATTAAGTTCTATTATTAATCTGATCAATATGCAACATTTCACCAATTTAGCCATGTATTGAGCCTAACCAGTGTTATATCAATCTACAATTGCAGTTTGCCTCTGAAAATTCATCAATCATACATTAAATCTACAGTATTGTAGTAATTAATTCATTTCACTGTGAGTAATTTAGGAAATAAATTGATTTTATAAGTTTGTTCATGACATGCTCTGTTGTCAGTGGTGTCGGCAGCTAGTTACACTAGCGATGAGTTTTATGATTCACTTGATTCAGAGGAAAGTACTATAAAAACAATGCTGGCATTGATCTTTGCATTAGGTAGCTACCAAATAAATGTGTAATTAAAATGTATAATCTTAATTTTATCATAATTTGAATATAATCATAATACTATAAATTTGAACAGACCAACACCATTGACATTTTAAAACATGGTTTTGAAGCACGTTAACCCAATGACACCATGTGGTTACGATTAACCTCTAACTGCAAATGACCTGGAATTACTTCCTAGAGTGTTTTCCACAAAGGGCCTATTGAATTTAAGTTGCTGGAAAACATTTAAAGTAGCAATATTTCTTTTAATTCAAATTACATTAATAACATTTTATGAATGTGTGTACAACTTATGCTAAACATTAAATATTTTACAACAACATTATTTATGCTACATATATACATATATATATATATATATATATATATATATTTGTAAATGATCACTTTAATCCAAAGTTATAAAGTAAATGCCATGATGGTGTACATTTCTATTGGATGTAGAGTTGACAAGACTATTATTAAAGTGAATTACAACATTTGGTACTGCAGTTCTAGAATGATCATCAGTGAAAGGAAAATTGTTTGACATTTTTAAATGAATGGCTTACTTTCATACATTACATTTCTGATCACTAATGCAGAGCTGACTGCCTTTCAAATGAAAGAGAAATTTACGTGTTTATTTATATCTTTACTTTTACATGTTGGTTAGGATACCATTTGCATAATGTCCTTTAAACAAACCAGCATGGCAAAAGGAAACACGATCCTCCTCCGAACACACTATTAATGGCCTGGGAGACACATGACACAATTCAGCGAATGGAATATTCAAAGGGCACATGAGGCATACTTTCAGAGCTGTTAGTATTATGTATTTTTACAATTAAAATACAAATAATTCAAAACGTACACCATAATATATCAACTTGTGCAAGTACTATGTGCTTAGTACAAAATGTTCCAGAGCGCACAAATTGTGTTCCTGTGCGTAAAAGTCATGAACTGGATTATTTTATTTCAAAGTTACCTTGTAATAAGAAAAATGCATTTCTTACGAATATATAACTAAATTTAGGGTATCTCAAAATCAAATACCTGTGCATTACCCACCCCTAACTGTTGTTGGAACTTGGTTATCCTAAGTTGCATTGCATTGACTGTCTCTGTCAGACTGTCGATGGTTTGCTGCTGCTGGCTGCAGAACCAGACCGCCGTTGATCCCCCGACAGCGAAAATAAAGAAAACAATGGCAGGGACTGCATATTCTTTAAATCCTCCCGGTGGTGTTACAGATGGCGTCTCCAAGAGCAGCAAACTGTCGTCCTGCTTATTGGTGCTTTTTCCTTTGCGCTTGGTCATCTTGGCTTCGCGGAGGATCTGCACTGTAGACTGCAACACTCCCCCTTTCTCTGATTTACTCAGTGATTTGGGTACCGTTCTACCAGACCTCAACGCTGTATTGGCCCACAACGACCGGGAACAATCAAAAGTGAACTTTCAAGCACGAGGAATGTGAGTAGGGGGCGTTGCGCACTGGAGGCGCCTCTCACTTTCATGGCGCCTAGCGGCACGTACAAATTTACCTAATGTTTGAGAGAATTACATAATTTTTAAAAAGCTTTATTTAGGATACTGCATCAAAAAATCTGAAGAGGATACAAAAATCTGTTTTTTTTTCTAATTGTCTATAATGATACTGATCCATGGATCTAGTCAGTAGGCCTCTATATTACAATAAAATAATTTGATTAAATAGTTAACTTCCGGAATTAAAATTCTGTCATCATTTACTCACCCTCCACTTGTTCCAAACCTGTATGAATTTCTTTATTCTGTTGAACACAAAAGAAGGTATTTTTCAAATGTTATCCGAACATTTGATGGGCACCATTGACTTCCATAGTAGTAAAAAAAAAAAACTATTAAAGTCAATGGTGCCCATCAACTGTTCGGATACCAACATTTTTCAAAATATCTTATTTTGTGTTCAACAGAAGAAAGAAACTCACATGGAGGGTGAGTAAATGATGACGGAATTTTCATTCTGGAAGTGAACTACTCCTTTAAGAACATTGTGCTGTTTGTTTAATTTTATTTCTCTTACTCTGTTTTACAGACTCTCTAAAACTTTCAAACTGGTTGATGATAAAGTTTCTCTTTAGATTTTCAGCAGACATATGAAGACTTTGGTTAGGCCGTTCAAGGATGAGATTGCATTGCATTAGGTATTTGGCTCCAGGAGTCTTGGTGGGTCCAAGCTTTTTCATTTCACAATGATGAATGTTATCAAACTTTGCACCTGGGTATCAATACAGTTTTATTGAATGTAAACATAATTAATGGCTGGATATTCTTTGTCTGACATCCAGACTGCTATGACTTTATGCACTGTAGATCGTCACAGACGGCTTCTAGTTTTTGAGAGATCTCAAGGTAACCTGATGCTTCTAAAGGAATGAAACATGATTCTGCTTAGCTGATAGATAGATAGATAGATAGATAGATAGATAGGTAGATAGATAGATAGATAGATAGATAGATAGATAGATAGATAGATAGATAGATAGATAGGTAGATAAACATTCAATACATATATGTCGAGATATCCTTTTATTTTATTTTTTATTTAAGATCACATCAATTATTACATTTGTCACTTTCAAGAAATATGATCACAAACGGTGTTGTTTGAAGTCGCCCTTTCTTTTCTCTGTAAGACAAGAAAACAAAAATATAGTAGTTGTTGCCTAAAAGTTGAAATCATATGAATCATAAACCTCATATCTTATTAACCAAAATAGGTTAATTCATATTAAAATAGAAGACATACATTTGACTATAAGTTTGGTGGAGCACTCATCATTAGGGGCTTTCGGCTACAACCTTGTATTCTCCCATGTCTTTGGGTCCAACCCTCAGGATGATTTGTGATGTAGTAGTTGGGGTTTGTGTTGAGGCTGACATTATTATGGTACCAGGTAATATGAGGGGTTGGGTTGCCCGTCACAGCACAGCTCATGTAGCACTCATAACCTGGTGGAGCAGCGTGAAGTTTCAGAGGGACAATAAATTTGGGAGCTGCCTGGAAGTCGAGGGTCTTTGATACAGGCATGCTATATGTGAATTTTTCTGGAAGAGATAAAAAATTTGTGAAACGTGATTATTTCAGTGTAGTAATGTCCATTTTTGGCCACCTCACATTATGCATCACTGCATATGTTACACAATTATCTGTTTGTGCATCTGGGTTACATTGTCCAAGTGAAAGTACAATAGAAGCTGGAGGGCAGTGAGCAATTTATGAAGCACATGAAGTGCAGACCATCACTGGCAAAGCAATTATCCCGAGCTACTGTAGTAGGCCACCTCATACTGCATCTGTAAGCCTTATAGGTACAACATGTTCAGAACAAGGCGTATATAGTTTAGTGGCAATGTGTCAGAGACAGCAGCACAAATCCCAGAAGTATAAACCTGGATAAGGGTGACCCATAAATAGAGTTTCATAGATCTTCTATCATCACTGCGCCCTTGAGCAAGACACTTATCTCTGGCTTCTCCAAGGGACTCACTGCAATTAGTGTTCTGTAAATTGCTTTGGGAAAAGGTGTCTGTTAAATGGCAAGTAGCCTAGACCATTGCACCGCTGGTTGTAATGCAGCCGAGACCAATGATTGTCCAAACGCAATTTGTTTTCAGGCTTATTTATTTGGGTAGTTGATGCATAATGAGACTATGGATTATTTGTTAATCACTAACAAGGTTTTAGATATACATTTATATGAATATATGACATTTAAATGTCCCTGAGGCAATCCAGTCTAAAAGAAATAGTTCAACCAAAAATGAAAAATCCACCATCAATCCACCCTCCAGTTGTTCCAAACCTATATGAGTTTCTTCCCTCTGCTGAACACAAAAGAAGATATTTCGAAGAATGTTGGCAACCAAACAGTTGATGGTAGCCACTGACTTCCACAGTATTTTTTTCCATACTAAGAAAGTCAGTGGCTACCATCAACTGTTGATTACCAACATATCTTCTTTTGAGCTCAACAGAAGAAAGAACCTACAGGTTTGGAACAACCTGAGGGTGAATAAATGATGACAGAATTTTCATTTTTTGGGAGAACTATCCCTTTAAAATCTGTAGTAGAAATAAAACAATTAGTAAAATTCTGTTTAAAAATAGAGCTAGAGCATTTCATGCCATCTGCTCTTTTTAATATTTTTTATTAATTTTATATGAAATATTTGAAAAATATGAATACAATACGATTTTTTTAAATATATTTTATATTAACTAAACAAAAAAACGTCAACAAAGTCATCCACAAACCTCTTTTTTTGGTGGTTCCCCAAACTGGCTCTGAGAGGTTTATATCATTATTGGCAAACACTCTGAAATTGTAGTCTCTTCCAGGCAAGATGTTAATGAATTTGTTGTTGAACAAGTGGTCAAACACTGTATGCCTTGTTTATTTGACAGTCCCGCTTCATCACCATGTAATGCAGATGGTTGTCTCGTTTCTCATCGGGAGATCCCATTTTGTTGGACATTTGTTCTAGTTCTACTGGACCTGGAGGCTTGGGATCATCTGGAGATGAAAAATAAACAGGTACCAATATAGCATATTATCTGAAGTCATTCTTTAGAGTTAGAACCATACCATGGGGTTTGATATTCAGATAAAAATTAAATGTAGTTTTATTTTTGTACAGTCATTTTATGTATCACTATGATTTAAAATATTATGAAATACTATTAAGGAATATTACTAAAATATGAATAACATGTCCTTAATATTAGTTAAGTTTTAGGTAATAAATGTAAGGAGTTTAGTTACCAGTCACTCTTATTTTTGTCTAAATATGAAAAGAAAAATTAAAAGTGTGTTGTATTTTTAAATGAGAGAAGTGTATGCTACTTTAAATATTTCTTAAATTAATTTATGTGTAAATTAATTTTCAAGACCTCTGATTGGTTCATTTTTTGGGTTTGCTTGGCTCCAAAAATTGCTGCCCTTTTTGCATTTTTTCTACATTGTATCAAATGATACTGCCCCCTCCAGTGCTGGAGGGAGGAAACCAGGCCAAGTTAATGGAGTCTTTAAAGGCACTGACTATTTTAGGAGGAGCAGGAGAGCCAGGGAATGCTGAGAACAAAAAGAACACATTCTATTAACATTTCCTTTTTCTAAAGACTAATTGATAACTGATAAGCACCCACTAACTGATAACTACTACATCAAAATATAGAAAGAAATAAGGAATCTCACCCAAAGTGCCGGCAGCAATATCATTAGTTGTCGCAATGTCACTGAAGCCCTCCGAGTTTTTTGCCTGGATTCTGTATTAGTACTTTCGACCACAATCTATGTTTGTGTCTCTAGGTAGGCTGTCCAGGGAATGTCTCCAATTTTAGTCCAGGTGTTCTGTCCCAGCTGCTATCCCTCCAGGTTGTAATTAGTCACTGGACAACCACCATCGTCCTTTGGGGGTCTCCATTTAAACTCAATGGCACACAAGGAGCTTTCTACGATTTCTACAGGTCCTTGTGGTGGAGTTGGCCTGTCTGGAAGAACAAAAACATATAGAGTACTGATATATCACAATGGTAGAACAGTTGATTAGTTGTCTAACAACCAAACAGTTGAGGTCAGTAAATGAAAGTTTTTTGTTCTTTTGTAGTTTTAATATTTTTAGTGATGGTTCTTTAATTAGCATGCAAACAGCTATATCATTGTAAGAGCTGTATGCTACAGCTATACATAAATTACAAACATATGTCTTTGACTGCTGCATGAAGATGTATATAGGTTTAATATTCTTCTAAAATATGCCTTCACATAACTTTTTTTTTTTTTTTTTTTGCAGTTTTAGGCATTTTCTTAATATTAGGTTTACAATACATACCAAGTACTGTAAGTTCCGATGTTGCCTCTACTGTGGCAAATTCATTCTTGATTTAGATTTTTATCTCTCCAGTGTCTTTGCGCTGACACTTAGTAAGAAGTAGACGGCTATGAGCTTGACACTGTGACCCTCCAGTAACTCTTCGCCCTCTTTAAACCATTGAATCGTAAATGGTTCTTTTCCTGAAAAAGGTATTTGAAGGAAGCATTTTCTCCTGCTTTGACAATAACATGCTCTGATAATTTACTCAAGGCATCTGCATCAGTTTTGGGTGGATCTGAAGAAAAGAGAAGAAAGAGAATTTGTTGTAAACCAGGGCTGGGTGGTAGAGGTGTTTTTTATTTATTGAGAGGAATAAACATCCATACAGCACGTCTCTTATATGGGTCGGATGTTAAGACATTACATTTTACAGAAAGCATGACATTTTGAAGTGATGCATCAAAAGAGTATATCATATAATGTGCCTGTCTAATTCTACCTGTGAGAGGTTATTATCATCACCTGATACCTTTTCCAAAAACCTGCCCCCACCATAGAGCTTACACTGCTCTCTAGTGGCTAAGGCAAATATTGTAAATAATCCATTATGGCTCCTACAAAATTAGATGCGTTTTACAGCCAGCTTTATG